TCTCTCTCTCTCTCTCTCTCTCTCTCTCTCTCTCTCTCTCTCTCTCTCTCTCTCTCAAACCCAACTGCCAGCTGGCAGTTGCACAGGTCACGTGCTGGATTTCCATGCAGATTCAAGTTTGGCGCAGCTAGGATCGACTAGCATTGACCCACTAGCATTTTGCCGGTATGGCCAGGATGGCGCAGCGCAGGGCGCCACGGCGTTGGCAAGCACGGCGTGAGCGGGTGGGCGCTGGGCGAGAGCGGGTGGTCGCTGGGCCTGTGCTCGGCAACCAGCGTGAGAGCTGGGCGTCCGCTGTGCGACCACTGAGCGAGCGCCGGCGTGAGCGCTGGCTATGGCGCAAGTGCTGTGCGTGAGCACGGGCTATGGTGCTCCTTTTTTCAGTACACTTCACTGACTTCACGCTTAGCGTACGCGCGGGGACCGGAGGCGCTTGATCGAGCCACGTCACAGGCTGACGTGGCAGACGGTCTGGCTCGTGGATTTACTGCGAGTTCCACATTGAAGCTCCATTGCCGCAGCTGCGTTCTTGCACGTGGCATAGTGCCTTGGCGGTGTTGGCTACATCGACGCCGGTGGAGTAGGGTGGAGTTAGCCCTTGGTTAACCAAAGTGCGAGGATTATTGAATGATTGGAGTGAGTGGGGGAGGACCATCAGGGAGCTATCTGTCAGCATCATCACAGCGCCGTCCATCATCTTCAACGGGGAGGTCTCCATTCATCATCAGGGGAGCTGCTTTTCATCGGAGAGATTCAGAGTGTTGTTTGTCTTCTTTTTTGTCTTTTCTTTGCAGGATGTTTATCAGCATTGCCATTGGGTCGGCATCATCTCCATCAGCGTTGCCGCTGGGTCGGCATCATCTCCATCAGCATTGCCGCTGGGTCGGCCTTTTGTCAGTGTTGGATCATCACTACCATTATCATCTCACTGCTGGTTGGCAGTTCGTCATTATCGTCATTTTTCTTGTCATCATCAAGCCACGGTGACATTATCATCCTCTTCATCTTCGACAGCATCCGGATGCTTTCATACAGCTGCTTGGTTCATAATCATCGTCATCATCATCACTACGCTGCTATGCGCTCTAGCACAATGGCGTAGTTTCTTGTTAAAAATAAAAATAAAAAATCTTAGCACACTGCGCCGCTGTCATCAACGCGCCATTCCACGGCGTCGTAAATTCAAACGATCAGAACGGCGCTTCTCGCCATTTTTCACGTTGCTTGTTATCCATGTTGCTTGTATTTACCTTTTGGGTGCGGCTGGTCTTCATCATTACCGCACTGTTCCTTCTCATTGACACGATCGTCAGCTTCTTCATAGTAAGGGGCTTCTCGCCATCATCATCATCAAGCTTTTATTCATCATGATCTTCATCAATATCTGCTTTCCTGACTGTCTTCTTTTCTTGCTCTTTCCATCATCATTTCTCTTCCTCCTCCTAGCGGGTTAATTAATTTTTACATGGAATCTTGAAGGTTAGTAAGGAGAGCTTTACTCTGCAAGGGCTTCACAAGGTGGGGGGTGAACGCCCTATAGGGAGGAAGAGCAGACTATGTGGAATGCTCGAGTCTGGGGTTGGGAGAGATGATTAGGCCTCCATCATTTCCCAGCGGAGGCAGATAAGGGCAAGGGTTGGGCTGAGGCAGGCTTTAGG